ACACACACACACACACACACACACACACACACACACACACACTACATTTACTTCATGACAACAAACAGTGATTCTGTGTTAGGCAGCAAACAGTCTTGTTAATACAGGAGGGTATAAATACATGTAAGCAAACAAGGAGAGATCATCACAGAGGGTTGGAAACAACGACAGCGAACAGCTTGGAGAAGAATCATGAGAAATCAGGTCGACAGAGAAGACAAAGGGTTCGTTTCCGTTTGATTTGTTCGATGTAGTTAAGGACCAGTCACAATAATCAATGTGTGCGTGCGTTTGCTCGTCCGATTTCAATGTGTTTAAATATGTGTCACATAAACTCTCCAGTGGATCAAACAAACACAAAGTAAACTTGAGTTCTGTTCAAATGCTTGAGACACTGTGGATGTTTAGATTATTATCCGACGTCACAGAGCGCTCTGGGAGGCAGCACGACACCAAACACACGAGAAGAACAAGGAGTCCTGCAACAGATGGTCCGGTCCCCTCAGAGACATGATCTCAACTTCAGTCTGGGACCAGACGGTGAGAGAGAAGAGACCTGATCCACAGAGGAGCTGTGGCCACTGATCCTTAAAACAACCAACCTGGTTACAGCAATTTAGAAGATTCAGGACATTATTTTTGAACGTACTAAACTGTCCATTTTCACTGTTTCTTCTGCTGCTGTGACGCGTGTGTTACCCTTGTGGGAATAGATTAAAATGTTATCAATCAACAGTATTCTTATTTTTACTTTTTCCCGTATATGACTGAGATCGGACTTTAAGGGATGAAAACTTGCCACGCTGCACGTTTGTGCCTTGCAAGACATTTCGGTGACTGTAAACACGAAAGACAAATATAACATGAGACGTGATCGTGAGGGGCTGAACATTAAGGGCTGTAAAGTCAACAGAGGCTCAGAAAGTGCAAAGGGACAGAGAAAGAGAAATACACACAGACCAAGAGACGCAGATGTGAGGAAACTTTACCAGTTTTCCAGAATCCATGGTTTCCTTCAACCTCTTCCCCAGCTCGGAGCCTGTAGCCACCATGGCCCTCAGCATGTCTCCAGTGGCCAAGTGGCAAACACAGTACTGCTTTACCAGCCGAGGGGCCTGCAGAGAGGAAGAGACACTTTTATTCCAGTATTATATAAAAATAAACATAGGAACATCTTTCTGCAAAGTAAACTAATGAAGTGAAAACTTGTCTTTCCAGCTCATTTACAAACACGAACGTTACGAGGTGAACGAAGCGTTTTCTCATAAATAAGGTGCAGTACAGGTTGTGTGTACTGAGAGGCAGTAACTTAATATTTTACTTTTTTTTTATTACTTTACATGCAACACAACATATTCCATGTTGATTAATTAAGATTGACATTAAGTGGTTTGTTTGACCAAGCATAAGGAAATGAAGTTTATAAACAGAGAAAGAATCCTGAAACTGTTTTGGTGAATCTTTTTGTTATTTCAGCTCGAAAAATACAACAGTGCAAACCTCCGGAGTCCCACTGTGCTTCAGTACAAAGAGAGGACTCAGCTTTAAGAGAGAGGAGCCTGAAGAAGTGTTCAGAGAATTCAGCTGTGCTTGTGTGACTGATTTCAGAGAACTGCACGATATAGAGAGGTCACATGTGAGACACCACTTGACACTTCTGCAACTTGAATCGTTCTGAATTAGTGTCGCGACTGAAAATGAGTTGGAATAAAATAAATATTAATTGTGGACAATGTGTCTGATCAATCACACAAGTCAGTCTCTTACTGCAGGACCGGTCAGTATCTGTGGGGCAAAGGTTTGATTAGAAATATGAAAACACTTTAAAACGTTTGATTTCACTGTTTCTGATCACGTCGGACTAGTTAGTAAACCGCCGTTTTTAGACGTCACTAATCTGTCCTGGATTCAGGGAGAAAAGCCTGATCACGTTAGTCTAAGTTTAACGAATGATGACTTACTTTTGTTAAACTGAGACCAAACTTACCCACAGGAGGATAAAACTTCTTTAAGACAATTCTTCAGATTTGTGAAACCTTTATCCTACTTATGAAAGTTTCAAAAAAAATGTTCTTGTCTAAAAGTCATTAAAACACACAGGTTCAGATTTCTGACAGTTCAGTAGAAAACACTCAAGAAGTGTGATTTCACATCTAATTCAAGAGACATCATATTTAATTATCCAGATTAAAATCTATTTTACTTTGGTCCGATCCTCGTGGTTCCATTGTGATTCGACCTCTATGTTTCTATTCTTCTATCATTTGTGTTTAATGGTTTTTTTAATATTAATGTTGGTTCTGCATCTTGTAAACTTTGGTTTTGAAAAAGTATTTTTTAAATTAAATAGACCTACAAAATAAAATAAACATCAAACCTGGGCTGGATTAAGAAATGATGAAAGACTGCAGACGAATGTTGAAATGGACCCAAAGAAGCTAAAAACTATTTTCAAATAGTTTGTCAGACTTTTGTTTAACTAGTAAAAGTTGGATGTTCCAGATTTTCCTCCCGAACACCTTGATTTCATTTAAACTCTTCAAACCGGATCAAGCTCCAGCTGCACCGTCTCTGCACAGATCAGACATTTACAACTAAACTCAGGTCTGAAGGAGTCACACCTCGACGAGGCTGTTTAATTATTAACTCGTTAAACTGAACCAACAGGTAAAATCAGGTAGCATTAGCATTAGCTTGTACTGATGCTAACAGCGGCCATGCGCCGTGCACTACTTCCCCCATGCTAACTGCTAGCAGCTAGCTCTGTTAGCTCACCTGGGTCCCCTTCCCAGCCCCGGGCGGCCCGAGCAGGATGGCCCGGATCCCCTCGTGCACATCTGCCATCGCCTCCTTCAGCTGCACGCTGGGAGCCATGTCAGCACCGGGAGAGGAGCCGGAGGAGAAACTTTCACCGGGTTAGTGAGGAGTCGGGAAGCCGGAGACAGCGCCGCGGAGTCCGGTCAGAAGAGAAGGAGCGCCCGCCCCCTGCTCACTACCACCGGTTAAACCCCTCCCCGTCGTGTGGGCGACGCGGCGTTTGATTGGCTGTCACACTGTTCTGTCAACTGAGGTGCGCGTTGATTGGACGACACTCACAGGTCGCGTCATTGCGTAACATCCGAACAAGGCGTCATTCCCGAAAGTTAAATACGTAAAAAAAAAAAAAAAAAAAAGTTTTTTCGACGATTAATAAGAATTCTAACGCGTTTGTCTGAAATAATTCATGATAATTTAATTTCATATTTTATTTTATTTGTCTATTTATTCATTCTGTCGCATAAGAAAAACAAATTCAAACTTTTTAAATCGATTCTTTTCTGTTTTTATGAGAAAAAAATTCAGTTTAATGATGTGATAATGATTTCTTCCTTTAGAAGTAAAACAACTGTTTGAAATTATGAGGTTATTTTTTTTATTAGTTATTAAAGAAAAAAAAGAAAAACTACTGACATGAAATTAATAAAACTGTAGAATTATTTATTCATTTATTTATAAATTCAGAAAAAAAAATTCTCCTGTGAATTAAAGTTTTTATTGTTGAGCATAATCTGCTTTAATTGTTGTTTTTTAGTGGAAAAACTGCATATAAAATATATATAAAATATATATAAAATATTGTTTAAAATACAAGTCTTGACATCAAAATATACTTCAAATGCTAAAAGTAAAAGTACTAATCATGCACAAATGTACTACTTCAGAGTAACATACAAACTTGATAACACTTCATCTGTGTGAGACGTCACTGTTATCCGTTCTGACTAAAACCTTTTTGACTTAAACTTGAGGAAGTGAAATATCCTAATGATCTGATATGGTCAAGAGGAAGCTCATTTAGGAGGAACAAGACGTTTTCTGAAAGCCTCACCATATTTCAGTCTGAAAGGAAAGATTAGAATAGTGTTCGAGCCTCAAATTTATACTCACTGATGGTCCCACAGCAGGAAAATGCCTGAACCTGAAGTTCTTTACTCTGATATTAAGTTCATAAGACCGGAGGGAAACGCAAATGGTGAGTTTTAAAGTTTTCAGTACATCCAAAATAAAATGATAAATACCAAGTGTACACATTGATTTGTATTATTATTATTATTATTATTAATTTTAGACGTAAAACAGTTAGTTGTTCGTTTTCATGTCTTTGACTTCGTGGACTTGACTTCCCTGTTTTGCTTTTTATAAAACTAAAACATTCCAGAAGTCTCCAGGATTCGTCTGTTGTGTTTTTCTGTTTGACTGAAATATGAACAAATCCACCAGCAGAAGGTAAATGTACATATATGTATTTGTTTTGTGTTGCAGTGGCCACATCCTCTGCAGCTGAAACCACTTATTCCGAAGTCAAGATCTTAAATACTCGGGGACCTGCAGAGCTGCCTGGTGGGTAATAAACCACATGGAACTATTTAAAAAATTCATTTCTTTGGGTTATTAATTGTTGATTCTGAAGACACCACTTAGACCTTTTCATTATTTTCTGACTTTGTTTAAAAAGAAAAATAATCAGCAGATCAAATGCTGATGGACGTTAGTTAGTTGCGGTCATATTGTTGTGTATAATAAAGTAAAAATAACATTCCTGTCCTAAACCTCGAGATTAATCACAGAATAAAATGTGTTTTAATAAATGCTCATAGTTAGTTCGAGTGAAAAAGGAAGATGAATTTGAAAGAAGAGAGAAGGAGAAAATCTTCTGCGTTTGTTTCCTGTGCAAATAGTGAGAAAAAGTCAGCGTTGAGGAAAGAAACAATTGAGGAAGTGACCGTTATGAAAGGTCAGAGTAATATTTATAGCCAACACAAAAAAAAGTGGAGCCTTCTGTTTCCTGTGTGCTTCACTCACCCCTGGTTTTACAAATTCATCTTTAATCTGTTAGAGTCGATTTCTGTTGGTCGACAACAAAAACAAAGTGAAAAACAAAAGACATGAAAGTGGGAGAACATCTTTAAAGACTTTTATGAATATTAGATATTGATCTTCGTCTTTCTCTTCTGCTGTTGAACAGGCTCCAAACAACCTGCAGCATCAGACAGACGGTCAGGGGTCACAACGGAGCGAGTGGCCCTGCTGGCCCTCAGTGTTCTCCTGGCAGCCGCCCTCATAACTCTTGGTTTAGGCTGTGAGTTTGATTCCTTAAAGTACATTTTTCAGAACGAGTCATAAAATCAGCTTGAAACATCTTGAAATGAGAATTTTCACTTTGAGATTCAACATCTGTTTGTTTGTGTTGATGAGTTTTGCTTCTTCAAGCCTGTAGATGTAAAATCAACCAAACAACAAATGGAATCAAACAACATTTTAAGTTAATGATTCTCCTGCTAAACCTTTACTGATGAGAGGTTCTTTCTTTTTTAATCAGTTTATCAACATACTCAAACCAAGAAGAGTCTCCAGGAGCTTCAAGTTAAGTGTGATGCAAAAATTCTCTCAGGTAAAGTTTTTGATTTTGTTTCTTGAAGTGTTTGATCCACGAGTCACAGCAAGGTCACTTCAAACTGCGTCACTTCTTCAGATGAAGCCTTTTCTTAAAGTTCTTTAGTTTAATTCTTCAGGTTTCTTCACTTTTCTGTTTCTTCTCTGTTCAAATGAAGCGACTCTTCAAACGCGCAAAGGGGTGGAGCCAAGTCAATGTCCTCCAGTGAATAGTAAGTCACACATTTGCATCTTCTGATGATGGTTAAAGAAACAGCGAAGGACTGACGCATACAGTCAGATCAGCTGTGTCTCAATTCAGCGGCTGCATCCTGTAGAGGACGCGGTCGACCCGGCCCACAAAGGAGGCGTCTTGGTGGACCACGTCGACCACAGACGGCCGAACGTTGTGGTCTACAAAGAATTTCCATGATAGGTCTGCCCTTACTGCCATCACCTAGCAACAGAACTAAAGTTAGACAAGATGAGGAAGTTTTTATGGCCCTTGATTTTTACATTTGTCCTGTTAGATGTTCAGTTGAGTTAAAGCATGATAACGAGACGTCTCAACGCCTGCCGGCACCATCACCTTTTTGAACCCTTTTGAAAAATGGTTTGTCACCTCAGTGCAATGAATTCTGGGAAGGGTTGGAACAGGAAGGATCCAACCGTTGGAGTCTTTGTTTCTCGGCGTTAGACGGACGCATTTGTCGACCACATTCTAAGGAGCCTCTGATGTGGGACGGCGTAGTCACGTCGCTGTGATGCAATCGGCCTTCGAAGGATGCAGCTCCTGAATTAAGACTTTTGACTGTAACTGTAACTGCAGTTGCAGAACAGCTGCCTTGCTCAAGGGCAGTGTGCCTCCGCCCTCTCAAACTAAAATTGTCATCAGTCATTCAAAACTCTTTCCATTCAAAGTCGCTGTTGCTTCCAGATCCAAAGTAACCAGTGATTTCCTTCACTTTGCTTGAATCTCTTCAAAGATGAACAATGTCCGAGGTGCAAGGACGCCTGGGAGCAACATGGAGGAAGGAGCTACTTCTTCTACTCTGCTGCTTTAACCTGGAATGAGAGTAGAAAACGCTGCACAGAACTGGGAGGAGACCTGGTTGTGATAAACAGCGAAGAGGAGCAGGTATAAAACACTGCTGCAGGTCGATGTTCTCTTATTTTATCACTTCGTCACAGAAAAGTCACAGAGAAATGTCATCACCTTCTTCTCTTCAGAGATTCCTGTTGTCTAGACTGAAAGATATAATGGACCTCCCTGAGGACAAGTTCTGGATCGGACTGACAGACTCAGAGAAAGAGGCTGAATGGCGTTGGGTGGACAACACACCACTGGACCCAAGGTTTGATCATTGAGAAAACTGTTTTTGTCATGGACGTCAGTATTAAGGTTTTCATGGATCTGGTTCTGTGTTTCACAGTTTGACGTTTTGGATTAAGGGTGAACCAGACAACTGGAACAGAGAGGATCCTGATGGAGAGGACTGTGTGAGGATGGGGGAGACAACCTTCTACGAGGACCTGAAGACCTGGGTCGATAAATCCTGCAAGAGTCCTCATAAAAGTATTTGTGAGAAACCAGTTTAAGAAACTGAGGCATTCTGCTTCATTAATAAAGATCTTCTCCAGACAGATACATAACAACTTTCAATTATATCTAGAGTCAAATATGTTCTTCAGTTACCGTGTTCTTTTAAAGTGACGTCTACTCCTCCCTGATATAAAATCTATGAATATTAAATATATTAATAAAGATCTCTCCTACTTTTCTGTCGAGTCTATTCTGAGTGTCTGTCTAAGAAACCAGACAAAATGTTTCCTGACTTTTATAAATCTAGTGAGAAGTTATTCTGAGTCATTTTCTCATAGACTTCTATAGAAACACCCAGTGGAGTCGCCCTCTGCTGGTCGTTTGAGAGAATATAGATTTCAGGCACTTCTGCATTGGCTTCTCTTCTCAGACCCAGAGTCTGACTCAGTTTATTTACAGTCCAAAGTTTTGCCTTAAAGGTCGAGTGTGTTTTAGGTGAAAGGTAGATGGAGTATTAGGGCCACATTTAAAAAAAAAGAAATTTGGGAATTACTTATGAGAATAAAGTCGTTATTAAATATGGCGAGAATAATGTCCAAAGGATTAAGTATCTCCTTGTTTGTGAAACCTATACTAAAGTACAATTCCACGAAATGCTCCACGGCCCTCATTTTAACAACTCTCCTCCTCTAGAACAACGGGTTAGAATATTTACGACTGTATTCTCGTAATTTAATCTCGCCATATTTAATAACAACTTTAATCTCATCCTCATTTACATCAGGACAATAAGAACAAGAGTATTTACATAAGAACAGCCCCAGGTTTCTCTTCAGCACTGTAGCCAGGCCAACAGAGAGCCACAGCTCTATTGAGCCATCTATTCCTTTAGGTCTAAGTAGTAATGACTTCATGAGCTTCGTTAATGATAAAATTAATAAACTATTAGAGACAAAATTCATCACCTCTTGCCCTCAACAGGCACTGATCTGCATTCTTACACAGCAAGTTTGAAAACAGCTGTAAAACCTGATATATATTTAGATTGATTTTCTCCTATCGACCTTCATCCGATAACTTCAATAATTTCTTCATCAAAGCCGTCAACCTGTCTCTTAGACCCCATCCCAACCAGACTGCTCAAGGATGTTCTACCTCTAGTCAGCCCTTCTTCATTGGATATGATTAATCCGTCTTTATTATCAGGATTTGTACCACAGTCCTTTAAAGTAGCTGTAATTCAACCTCTTCTTAAAAAGCCCACTCTAGAGCCAGAGCTTTTCGCCAATTACAGACCGATATCAAACCTTTCCTTTCTCTCTAAGATCCCTGAGAAAGCTGTAGCCAATCAGCTGCGTGACTTTCTCCATAAGAACAGTTTATTGGAGGATTTTCAGTCAGGATTCAGAGTGCATCATAGCACAGAGACGGCACTAGTCAAAGTTACAAATGACCTCCTAATGGCTTCACACAAAGGACTCATCTCTGGACTTGTCTTGTTAGATCTCAGTGCTGCAATCGACACCACTGACCATCAAGTTCTTTTACAGACTGGAACATCAAACTGGCATCAAAGTAAACGCCTTAAGCTGGTTTAAGCCCCATTTTTTAGATCGATGTCAGTTTGTTCATGTCAATGATGAATCGTCCGTGCATAGCAAAATCTGGTAGTTTTACATCAATAAAGATGTTTATATTTTTCCCACTGAAAAAAACAAAGACACACAGACATTTGAGCAACTGATGAATCTCACACAAGATTTTGAAACATCTTTTTATGTTGTTTATTTAAAAAGAACATACAATAGAAAAGACTAAAGAGAACCTTGGTAGTCATACTCTTCAGAGTGGGGGTTAATATAACCAAGATATACATGAAGGGACAGTGTTTGTTTATTTTTACATTTTGCGGGCTGATGCAAAGAGTGAATGTCTCAAGAGATTGCTTCGGATGAGATAACACAACATGAGCTCAAAACAAAAAAAAATTTTGTGTTTAGTCAACTAATCTTTGTTATTTCACAATCAGATGAGCAAACCTTTCAAAATAAAATTACCTGATGAACACAGATATGAACAATGGGAGGTTGCAGAGGCGTCCCGAAAATCAAACCATGAGATGTTACAAAGCAAAACAATACACTCGCAATTTTCTGAATTACCAGGAACAACTCTGGTATAACTGCTATGCACAGTAGTGTAATATGCAACGAATCACCGCATTCATGATTGAAAAATCAAACCGTCCTATGGGCTTCTGCACAAAACGAACGTTGGTGATCAACATCAGAGGGTTTGTCTCCTGCTGCGGATGTTTACGACCAACAACAAGAAAAATCGAAACGTTTTTCTCTCTTTTCTCTCTCAGAAGAAATAATTGTTTTACTGAAAACACTTCAGTCCAATTTGTAAAGGAATCTAAAGGACGATGACACGTGTTGGAAGGAAAGTAGCATAATGATGAGACGCAACCATTTAGCAGACACACAGGAGTTCAGCTGTGTCCTGCTGAACAGTTATAATCAGTCTGAATGTCGAGCTGAGTTCAGTTCAGCTTCCAAGTCCCAGCTACACAAACACAATGTGTTTGAATATCTTCCTGTTCATGAAGTTTGACTGGATGAATTTCTTTGCTGTTCAGCACATTGTAGTTGTGTGAATTGTCCATTTGTGTTTATGGGACATGATTAAATGAACATTTCAGTTAAATCTACAACCATTTACACCACAAATCTCTACACCAATAAAAGGTCACATCTGTCTCTGTCACTCTGAGTCCCCTTCCTCCTCCTCTTCAGGTATAAACGGTGGATCGGTGGGTGTGTTCTTTTCAGCCTCTCCCTCTTTGCTCTTGTTGAGATGCAGCTCTCTGACGGTGAGGATGCGGGTGAGCATCGCCTCCATGGTGGTGTCATCCAGAGCCGAGGAGGAGAACCACAGGGGGCTGTTGGGGACGCAGCAGCGCTCCGGGAGAAGGTAGAACAGGTTGGTGCGCTGCTTGACTGACTCCGAGCTAGAGGGAGGACAGTTGTTAGTGTCGACAAGGTGAACAGAAACATAATAAAGGAACTTGACAGGGCAAGACATTCAACTTATTCATTCAGTGATTGACAATGAGTCTGGCAGTAACTGTATTTTTTGGTTCAAATCCGACCCATAGAAGTTAATCACCACTTTCTTTAGGACAAGTCAAGAGATGAGGAGATTTCAAACAGCCACAGACGGCTCAGGAAAGTGTTGGTGGAATAACTCACCACTTGGAGAGGTAGAACTCGTAGAGTCGAACCGGACAGCGGAGCGGGTTCTCCGTGTTCTCCACCATCTCCAGGATTTCCTCTTTAGCCTCGTCCTCCTTTCGCTTCTTAGATGGAACCTCTGGATCTGAGGAAGACGCAGACACAAAGACACACATTTACTTTCATACAATCATGAAGATAATTTAAGAAGAGTGTCGTTTTAATATATTAAAATCTGTTATAACTACAGATATTAGTACCTGTCTCTGCTTCGTTTATGGATATGGGCGGGTAGAAGCGCAGGAAAATGGTTTTGGTGTTGTTCAGGTTGGTTTTGGTGCAGCGCATGACGTGGGCAAAGGACAGCTGGCGGTGCTGCTCCACGGTGGTGAAGCCAAAGTACTTGCAGCAGAAGAAGAGCAGGGTGTTGAGGAGGACGATGGGGGAGTACGCCCCCAACTGTTTACAGTCCCAAAGATACTCCTCCTCCACACGGGAATGGACATAACCTGCAGAGGAGAGCAAACAGGATATAAATCATGGAAACGTTTTCATGAGACAGACATTGACAGAGTAGAAATTCAGGTGATAACTCACCACTGGCTGTGACTGGAGGTTTGAAAGTTCTCAGCATAGTCGTGAACTCAGTGGAGAACTTGTTGTAGAAGCGATCCATGAATATATTCTCCACTCGACTGTTCTCAAACAGGTACTGCAGAGAGAAAGATTACAGATTCATGTAGAGAGCAAGGGGAACGTTTGAGGGAGGACTAGGGATGAACCGGATGAATGTGTGTGTGAGCAGGACGGCGCTTCTCTTGCCTGTTGGATCCCGAGGCAGAGGTAGAAGATGCTGTCGGGTGAGTACGGTTCTCCGTTTGGTCGTTTCACCTCAGTGATGAAGCAGCAGAGTCCATAGCTCAGCTCAGCTGTGGTGCATCGCAGAAGATCCTCCTTCAACTCGATGGGACGAGCTGAAATATAAAACATAGGTCTGGTCATTTTGAGATATTTTAATAAAGAACTGTTCCATATTGTATCTATATTATAAAAATGAATTTAATTCTAGTCCATAATCTTGGGTCAGGTAAAGAATGATCCAGGTCAGCTTCAGTGGTTGTATTCACGTTACATTCAGACTTACAGCCGATGCGTGGTTTCTCTACGTTGGGCTGAGTCTGTCTCCACTGGATCCATCGCTTCCAGGCGTCAAGTCCGTACTCGCTATTCAGTTTCGGCAATTCTGAAGACACGTCCTTGTTGGAAGAGCCTCTTTGAGACGCCGCTGCAGCTGCCTTAGACCGCTGCGACTTACGACCCTATGATGAGGAGAGGGAGAGAGGGGGGGGGCTACAAAACCAGTGTCTTCACCAGAAAGTTTAAATAAAATAAAATCAAGTCAAATTACCCTTTTATCTCGGGCTTTCCTTTGACCTTGTCGTCGTCGTCGTGCCGTTGCAGGCGGGGGGCTGGGAGCGGGAGGGCCCTTCTCTCGAAGCCGGGACAACCTCTCCAGTGTTTCTGGCAAGTTCACAATTAAATAAAAAACATGAGACCAAACACCAAACCGGTTTGATGCATGTTATTCTGTCGACGACAGATGAAAAGATAAGTCTCCCATTCAACTCTTTAGACACGGGGGAAACGACGCTGGGAATTTAGAACATATCTCATCTCCTCACCGATAGTGAAGTCGGCTTCGACGTCCATGGGAGGCGGAGCTGGAGGCGGGGGCTCGGAGTAAGGCTCGCTGGGCATCGCCGCAGGAACATCTATGATCGAGTTGAGCTTCTCCTGCGTGAACGATCGACTCGGCGACCGGAGGCCCGTGTCGGAGGAGGCGTCCTCCCAGTTGTTGAGGAAACTCGTCAAGTCGTCTGTATCCAAATCGTCACTGAAGTTACTGGCGTGGTCTGTAAGATAAACAGGTGGATTGTGGTCACGTGATCGGGATGATCCTGATTAGTTTCTTTAAAATTATTCTTTCTTGTTTTTTCCTTAAAGAGTAGAAATGTCTCTCACCCTCAGGGGCCTCCTGTCTCTCCGTCCTCTTCTCCACCACTTTCGCCTTCGGTCGCTCAGGTTTGTTGTTCTCATCTTGTTCCGCCACCATCTCAGCCATGAGGATGAGCTCGGCCTCGAAAGGATCGGACGGGATCTTTTCCTTGATCTCCTGGATGGTCTCTATGATGCGTTCTGCGCTGTCCACTGTCACAGGAAGGAACATGGGCACGGGCAGCTGTGGGAGGCAGATTGGGAGAGTGAGAAAGTTTTCACTCCAACAACGTCCAACATTTAATAGCAGCATATATAAGCCATAAACTATTCCTTAGAGCGCATTTCCTGTTGCAAATTAATGCTATAAGGGAATAATAAATGTTTGAATAAACCTTACGTCAAAGCGATGAATAAAAAGAATGATCTAAATCATTCAGACCGAGGTGGTCGAGGAGTTCGACGTACCGGTAGCGGCAGGCCCACAGGTGTGGGAGTATACTGGCTGTACATGTTCATGGGTACGGGGACAAACACGGGCACTGGGACGGGCAGGATCATCACTTTTGGGAAAGCAACGTCTATAGAGAGGGAAATAAAAACAAACATGAATCAAGAGCATCGACAATAACAACATATTTTAAACACAAAAACAAACCGAGTGAAAATCTTCGTTAGGTTTCAGGGTGCAGAGCTTTTACCTGTCTGGGATTCAACATCGGCCGTCTGTGTTTTACAGGAAACTCCTTTATTCTGCACCAGTGGACGACAGAGCAGAGCCTTGTTCTTCAGGATTTTCGGGGCAGCAGCAGCAGCAGGAGGAGGAGGAGGAGGTTTCACCGCTTCAGTCTGGACGCTGATCTGTACGAGAAGGTGACAAAAAACAAGAATATTTCCTGATTTCACAATTTTAAGAACAAATATGGAACTAAGATTATTTTCGGGGGATCTGGTCATTTTAATCGATGTGTACATAACAACAGCCAACTTACATGTCCAGAGTTCTTTGATTGAGTCTGTGAGACTGTGCCTGTGGAGACAACGTAAAAAAAAAGAAGAAAAAAAAAAATCAACCCTGGCAACTGATGGAAAGTCAAGTATGAGACATTTAGAGCAAAGATACTTGAGTGTGTTTGAGTTTTCTACTTTGTTGAGTTGCAGTTCCGTCAGAATCCTCAGGTTTTGCTGTTTGAGGGTCTGCAAGTGAGATGACGTTGGCGATGACGGGCGTGGCCTCACCTGTTTCTGCACATCACCCCCAAAAAAAACCAGAGAAACAGAGGAGTCAGCTGAGAGTGATCCAGGGTCCGTATCCATCAAGTGATGCAGAGTTTCAGACAGAAGTGAGATCAACCACAACTCCTATAACCGGCCCCTCCACGACACAGTGACACATTAAATCTAAATAAAGCGTTCTGAGCGGTTTGAGTTGAAACCACAAGAAAGGAAATGAATAAATGAAAAGGAAACAGTTGATACACACCTTTCAAGACCTCGCCCTGTGTCGCCACCTTATGACTGCAGAACTTCAGCAGGCAGGTCTGATCACAGAAGTGTTTGACCTCCCCCAGCAAAGGAAGACTCTGCTTCAGTTTCCCTTTGCACCCACAGTTGTCACACTTAGCAACCTGACAGAGGAGACGGGTAACGTGAAGCTGGGACTCAAACGATCCTCATCCTCACCACGGTTTGAGTTTAATGACATGATTCAAGCTTACGTGACAGAAGAGCATGGTGTATTTGAACCTGCACTCCTCAGAGCAGAACTCCTCTGTCGAGCCTCCGTACTGAGCCGTCACCAGCTTCTTTGAGACACAGTGGCAGTAGACGCACGAGTTACAGTGTTTCCCCCAGTTTTTACTCAGGTCGTGTCTGAAGAGGAGCTTACAACCTGGGACGAAGAGGAGAAATAAGACTTTAACCCTTTCAGATAAAAACAATAGTAATGCATAGGTTACAGCTCTTCGATAATCCTGAAGCACATTTCCGTCAGTCTCCTCACCGTCGCTGCAGAAGTAGCAGTCTTTGTTGTTTATTCTTTTGGCGTCTCTGGTGATCTTTGCGATTTTACAGTATTCACACAGGCTCGTCACGTAGTTGACCCTCTTGAATTCCTGAGAACAGTCCACGCTACACAGAAAAACCAGCTTGTCCTGCAAACAGAGTGGATGCGAACAATCAGAAAGGTCCGAGCGTGTCACGCGGCTGAAATTTCAATTGTTCACGATCTTTCTCAAACTAATTTACATCCACGAGAATCTTGATGCATCAAACAGCAGTAACAGATCAACGCAGTAAAACCACCTTGATCTGGATGAGCTCGGGTTTGAACGTGATGTTGCGGGCGCACTGGGCACAGTCCAGCTTCGGCGGCACATTGGAGAAGAACTGCTGAGGTTGGGGAGGAGTCACCGGCTGGATTTGCGTGGATTCAACTGGCAACTTGGTGAAAACATTCACATGTTTCTGGGACTTCTTGAACTTATCCTACAACACAGAAAAACACCGGAGGAGTCAAGCTTCATGTTCTTTCCTTGGGCATTTTACAAACAGTACACTGCATTACCTGAAAAGCCATAACACACTGTAGCCTGCAGAAGTTCCTGATGGTAGTGTCTGACATGGCGAGGTGATAAGCCGGTACAGAGTTTTTCCCACAGCTATCGCAATTCAACCGAGCGCCTGTCGAAAAGAAAGAAAATAACCTCATTAGCTCGCCTCGTAAAGTGACGCGTTATAAGTTAAAGATCGAAATAACCAATGAAAACGTGTCTAGTACCTGAAGCACTGACAGTTTGAACCTTGAATGCCATCACACAGCTGCTGCTACAGAAGAGGTTCACAGAGTCGTCGTCGTTTTTGTTGTCGATCGTCTCTGCCAGCAAACGGTTAGTTTGACACATCATGCAAGGCTGAGATATCTTGGTTTTCTGTCGAGGAATCAAAGAGAAAATGAACATGTCCGGTTCATCGTCACATCAAATCTGCCTCTGCAGGAACACGGAGGGAACGTATCCTGGTTTCATTTTGTATTTTTATGTTTTAAAAACAAATATGTTCGTTTTTTTTTTCTCATACCTCTTTGTACTTAGCCAGACATTCGGAGTCGCACAGAGTTTTGTTGCCGTCCTCCATCTTCAGCATGAGCGGTTTGCTGTGGCAGAAGGAGCCACAGTTGGCACAGCCGGCCATGGACAGGTTGTTTACTGAACGGAATCGGTTAAAGCAGGCGTCACTGCAGATCTTGTGGACAGCACCGCTCAGGATCACCTCGTGTTTGCTCTGCAAGAAGATTGTGGAAAATGTTTTCGATTACTCAAGAAAATAACGGATTAATAAGAGAATGATGTCAGCAGCTCTGTTCTGCTTATCTTACGATGCAGTATCTGGTGCACATGCTGCAGAGCGACTGCGGTCCGACTGGTTGTGGTGTTGCTTTGGCGAATTCGGGTTTCCTGAAGCTGGAGGGGTTTTTCTTGTAGTTGAAGGAGGTCAAACAGTTTTGGCTGCAGAATTCCTTCATGACTCCTTTAGCATCTGGGGCCAGGATGACATCCTGAGGTCGGATTATCACCCTGAGAGAGTGAAAAGAGATCCTTTCAATTTGAGATCAGTAAAACCTCAAATTCCACGGATACGTTCTACCTTGCAAGTATTCGAAACTTTAACTCCTTTAGAGAGGCACTGAATCCGACAGTTACTCTAGGTTCAGAACCAGGACTCCGCACTGCACGTTTTAGATTTTTTACGACCAGAGTGAATGAAATTTAAGACCTTTGTCCAAAGCAGTGATAGAAGTTTACTTTTGGCAGTTGTAGCAGATCTTAGTGGCTCCTTTGACAGCGGGTAGCGATGTGGTGAGGCAGGCGGTGGAGCAGAACAGAGACGAGGAGCCCTTCCTCTGGAACGCCGTCTGTCCCTTAATCAGGCTCTTCTTGCAGTTGAAACACAACATGTGCGAAGACGACGGTTGGGCCGTGGGTAGCGTCTGTGTTTCAGCAGCTGGACTCACTGAGAAGACGGAACCGATCCTCAAGTCCTCCTGACAACGTGAGGAGAGAGAAATGTGTCAGTGATGGTCCAGTGATCCACGAGAGAAAAAAGCTGCTCGACTGAAAAACTAATCCTGGAGGAAGGTCTGGAACATGACGCTGTTTTCTTCTGTTACATTCTCTCAGTTTTTCTACTTTTCTTTACAGTAAACTGAATATTTATGAATGTGTTGTGTAATATTAATCATCATCCGGCTCTAACTCAACAACTTTTAAAATCATTTGCAAGTTTGTGGCTTCGTAACAACCCTCAATAAAATGTTTGTGCGACAGTAAACGTTCGTAAATCCCTGTGATCACAGGTGCATTACCCACCTTGGCAGTGTTCGGCTCATCCTTCACACTCGCAGTGAATGAAGAAGATATCAGAGCCTGGTCATACTCCTCATCTATGGGCTCATCCTTCACTTTGACCAGAGGCGGTGAAGGAGACGACTGATCTGCCTGTGATCTCTCCTGCAACAAGAGAAAAAGACAAACACCTCCTCTTGGATCTGTCTTATATAAATACCATCATGTAGATTAAACTCCACTCAAGAGTTCTTTGAACAGTGTGTTGTAAAATCCTAAAAGTACACAATGAAATCAGACATTTGAGAGAAACTCAGTGACGCCTCAGGTTTTCTCACTTATACTTACAGGGTCTATCCTTGGTAGTTGTGGGTTAAATACTTTTATCCCATTCATCACAGCCTTTGGTGATGAGCTCTCTCTTCCTGTAGGAACATATGAACTGGTTAAGCGCAAAGTAAGTTTGTAGTTCACTATTTTCATTGTACTATCTTCCCGAGTGAACAATATCTCCAGGAGGATTTTCTGAAGCCCCTTCGTTCTGTAGTGCTTCACCTTCATTGGCCGTGGTTGTAGACGATGGAGACGAGCTGGACTGGATCTGATCTAGAGCCACTTTTACGTCCTCCGCTTGGTACCCGGCTGGAGGTGGCGTCAATATGGTGGGTTTCACATCGGTTTCCTCGTCCTTTGTCGCTGATGGGAAAACCGAAATACATTTATGAGACGTTGTGCACAAGTGGGTAACTTTACAGTCCAGGTGTACACCACCCATCGCCTGAATGTTCCCCACATTTTCCTGTTGACGAGTAGAACAGCCTTCATAACACAACGTTATCTCTGGAACTACAGACTGAGACAGTTCAACTCTGACGCGTGTTAGACGATGATCAGTTATGAGTTCCTGTTGGTCTGGTTTGTTGTTTTATGACAGCGTGATAATATCTGTATCATTGACAAAGAACTACAACACACAAGAGCAACACAAGTATTGTCAAACAAACATTAACATCATTCACATTTACCCAAACAGATCTAAGACCTGGTGTGAAGTCTTTTAGTGTATTTAAGACTTTTTAAGGTCTTAAATCCAGGTGATGAATTTTAGTGTTTTAACTGAAACTCTGCTCACTTTACCTTCAGATGAAGTTCCAGGTGAGCAAGGGTTTCCCACATCCGCTGGACTATCCTGTTGCTCCTCCACTTTCATCTGAGCTTCTTGTTCCACCTGATCCACCGTACCGATGTCCATCATCTCGTCGAGGTCATCGGCTGTTGGAGCCCTTAGTTTATTTTCCTGCTGCGTGTCAATGTCCTCCTTAGAGTCAACATCTGGGTCCTCATCTTTTGTTATCTCCTCCTTGAAATCTGACGTTGTTTCCATAGCGGTGTCTTCTTTCACATCTGCAGCATCTTCCTCGTAGCTGTCGTCCTTTACAACAACATTTTGTTCATTTATCTCAAACCCTTCCTCGGTTTTCACCCCAGTACTCTCCGTTCCAGACTCTGAGGAGTTACCTGGCTCTCCACATTGATCCGAAGCTGTTCTGATAGTCTGGTTTGCAGAGAAAGACGACTGTGGAGCGGATGGATTTGGAGGAGATACAGATGCAGGAGAAGAGATCACAGCCTCCTCTTTTTTCCATCCTTTATCAGAAGAGACAGTGTAGACCACTTCTCCATGTTCAGATTGTCTTGGAGAAGATCCGTGAACACGCTCAGGGTCTGAAACCTCTGTCTCCTCCTTCACCTGTGTTGGAGAAACAACAATGAAAATAATAAGTGTCCACTAATAGACATTTATCTACAGGATGGTGTTCAGCTAATATTAACATATTACAAACATTACTACTACTAATACTACAGTGTGACTGAGAGTCAGACGCCCAGTCAGCCACGTAGACTCGTGCTTTACTTCAGATTGTTTGTTTCAGTCAACCAAGAATAAACAAGGTGAGCAGCTTCACGTCAAACACTCAGAATCAGGGCTCAGCTTAGACAGAGGCTAATGTTCACTGCAGGAGATGCAACATCATCAAGATCAACACAGCGGAGCACCAATCCCTCTCTTTACTCACTTAGACACACACACTTCCATTTTGACAAAAACATTTCATTGACACTAGTTACCTCACTAAATAGATGTGAATACTCTCACACCTTTCTCCACAATATTATTTTTTTATTCTCAAATGCAAAACAAATAACTACAAATCAGAATCTCATCACTTCGTCCAATAACAACGAATGAAAACCCAAAACAGTTTATGGACCTTCAAGTGCAACCGAGTCCCTGTCCAACTAGAAAACACTTCACTTGGACTTCAGCTGAACAAAGCAGTAAATAAACAAAACACAATTAGCTAATAAAACAGTGACTGTGGAGATAAAGTCACTGATAGTCGCAGAAAGTTATTTTAAGGGGGATTCTGGTATTTTTCATCCTGGGCCCAACATTTATAAATGTGGTCCGGTGTTTGAATGTACTTCTAATTAAATCCAGTCATTTGCCTGAGCTGCAACACGGCAGCAGTGGCTTCAATGTAAACTTATGGAGCAAATGAGACAGTCCACAAAATGTCCACTAAAAGTGTTTTTCTCAGTCTTACATCTACAGCTACGCAATGCTGGAGAGACGCTGAACAAAACGTGTATACGGGCTCATTCGATTACTGCCATCATCAATTATTCCCAGTAATTATCTCTAACTTCTCATAATTCAGAGGAAATAGAAATGTAGACAATGGACCAGGCAAGCTTAATATTATCCACATAATATCAGCTCATTGATTTTTATTATTAGTAAAAGCTGAAAAAAACATTTCACTTTTAAAACGCAGTAGCTATCACACGATCCTGTGGCTTCTACGGGAGCAGACGAGATGTTTGAAGGCCAAAGCGGAGTTTCACAATCTCGAACCTTGTACGTGTTCAATATTCCATCTTCAGAAAATGAATGGGATTGATCTTGGCGAAACTAAGAGATGTGGTTTTGAATCCATCCATAGAATGTCCCTGTACTTTCAGCAGAGGTATTTTTGTTTATTATAGTACTCCTGCCATGCTTCTGTGTGTCCCTGTGTCCAGGTCAACCTCTCAGCCACTAGTAGCATTACCTCCACTCTGTCTGCGGCAGGTCTCCCCACTCTCGGGACTGCGTTTCTCTTGAGGAAAACATGCTTTGGTGGAGCTTTTCTTTTCCTCTTCGGTTCGCTGTAGTCATCGCAGCCAAAATGGTCACTGCAGACCCGGTGGTCAGCGAAGCGCAGCGCCTCCACCGGAGTGTTCACGTCCATCTCCAGCGCCACCAGCCACGACTTCAGCGTCTCCGCGTCGGACAACGGCAACCGGTGGAAGCTGCGCGCACTGTGGCTCGACATCTTATTGCCACAGCTCGGGAATGCGCACAACCGAACCATTGCTCCTCGAACCGACCTTTGCACAAAAGCACGACGACGCCGTCTCTACTCCGACACAACAAACGCTGCTGCACAACTCACGTTTCCACCTCCCGCAACGACACACGACCCGGAGCAACATGTGCAATGACGCCAGACTCTCGGCGAAGACCCAGAATCACAGTTGGAGAAGCAGCAGCTTACACACCCACGTTTGTAAACACAGGGGCCCCAAACATGAAGGGGCTCTCTGAGGGCTCACATGAACACATGGACTCCTGCAGAAAGAACAAGCACTAAACACACAGACAACCTTTCTTTGAATAACACAGCGGACATGTGTAAGCAATAAGCTGCGACAGGGTAAATAAGACACTGACACGAGCTGAACAACACGGAGTTAGCTTGTTGATGCCGATGCCGCAACGTTGGCTAACAACGCGACAGTTCCCCAGCTGGGAGCTCGTGTTGGATTGAAAAGCAGGGATTCGATCGTCTCGGCCCGAGACGCTGCTTTGTTTACGTCCAGGTTCATTTCGGTGTTTGCGGATTAAACAGGAACTCGCTCTCGGTTCGCTAAGCTAACGCTAGCTTCGAAGGCTGCTCGTTAGCCCGCTGAAGTTAGCTAAACCCTTAACCGGGTGAACACGCCCGAGCACCGGGACGACAGCTGCAGCGGAAGGTTCCCTCTCGTTAAACCGGTATAATGGATGAAACAACGTGTAGAACATTACCGCGCAGGAGACTTGGACCGACGGGACTCGATTGGTGGCCAGACGCTGGTGTCCATCGCCACTTCCCGTAGCCGCCATGTTTGCTCCGGAATCCTGATGAGTGGGTTCCTCAAGAAGATCAGATCCAGCTCGTCCCGTTTAAAAAACCAAACACTGCGATTAAACGCGCTGGTTGTTGTTATTCCTGCACATCTTCGTCCGCGTCCATTGAATCTGTTGCAGAGCGTGTGTGTGTGTATGTGTGCGCGGCTTCTTCTCTCCGTCACTTTCCTGGCAGTTGTCAAACTTCGTCAGCTCTCTACCGCCCCCCGCTGGTGGGAAACTACAACTGGCCAAACACTATGTGGACGAGAGCGTCAGCCCCCATTGATCTGAAGTGATTGTGGACATAAATATATGGACACAAAGTTCAGCTCACCTTAATTTGTTTTTTTATTTATTGCACCATTTGCACCACATCATCGGCGAGGACCTTATCGATCCTCATGGCTTTTATTTTTTTGAATACTTCCACTGCATACTTCCGGTCTAAAGGAGAAGTTGTTGTTTTTTTTGTCCTTATTTCCAGCATCTGGTTTGTAGATCTGCTCATCCATGAAGGTTTGGAGTCACTCGGAGTCCTTCGGAAGCTTTTAGATCCGCACACGTTCGGCGTGTTCACTGCAAGTGATTGGGGCATCCACAACACAGCCTCTAAGTAACGCATTATCTGCCGAACTCTCTTTATTTATTTATGATGAGTATCTATGAATCTGCAGCACGAGTCCTCTGTGAGTCCAAGTTGCTTTGTTTACGTCCCGACCTTTCACTGGGTTGACGTCATCGAGGCGCGCCGCCGCAGCACAGCTCACGATCACCTGTGTTTGTTTAAATCGCGCAACATGGCCGAACGCTCATCACGTGCTTCACAGTACAGTACTTTTTGTAGGAGTGTATTTACAGTAAGCTGATCCCGCTTTGACATTAGCCTTGCAGAGAATTATATATATATATTGTACCGTTTTGAACTTTCAGAGATTATACACTGATCCGTGTTTGCACTGGTTATAGCCTAACATCATTGTGCAGCTTGGAAAGAAATGCATTACCTCCACTGTGTCTGTTGTGCCTTCTGCAACATTCGGGATGGCATTCACCCGGAGGTGCTGACGCGGTCCTTTCTGGCCTTCTTTCGGCGGCTTTATGGGAAAAAAGTCTTCCGGAGCGAAGTGAGCGCTGCAGACTCGATTGTCCGCGCGCCTCAAAGCTTTCACTTCAGTATTCGGGTCCATTCTCAGCGCCACCAGCCAGAGCTTCAGTGCGTCCGGGTTGAACAAGGGAAGCCTGTGGAAGCTGAATTTCGACCACCCGGTCATTTTGTTCTGACAATTTGGAAACACGCAAACACGAACCATGCTGTCAGCGGCGGCAGCAGCAAACTGGCGGGTGCGCAACTCGATGACGTCACCCCCCCCCCCCCCCCCCCCCCCCCCCCCCCCCCAGTGAAAGCCCGGGATGTAAACAAAGCAACTTGGACTCACAGAGGACTCGTGCTGCAGATTCATAGATACTCATCATAAATAACTGAGAAGAGTTTCGCGGCAGGTGATGCGTTATTTAGAGGCTGTACTGTGGATGCCCCAATCACTTGCGTTGTGTGGATATACGCAGATCGCGTGTGGATCTAAAAGCGTCCGAGGTTCTCCAAGTGACTCCAAACCTTCATGGGTGAGCAGATCTACAAACCAGACGCTGGAATAAGTTTGAAAAAAACCGAACTTCTCATTTTTCAACTTCACTTTCCGTCCTAAATGAGAAAGAAGTTTAATACAAACATTGATATAAGAACAAATAAGTTGGACGAGTTTGGAAACAAGAGTGAATTGTGGTTGAAGTTTGTTTTTTTTATTGTTTTGAGGCGAAAACCAATCCAATGAGCTTCATCCCAAAACAAACATGGAAACAGGAGTCAGCAAAATCCCCGGACAGCAGTTTTGGTTTATTTTTTCATTCTGACACCGAATAAAGTTTTTCTCCCCGGAACCTTCGGACGAAAAATCCTCCGGGGAGAAGTGATCACTGCACACCCGGAGCGAGAGGAGCGACCAGAAGGAGACATCCAGAGAAGCAGCCGCCGCAGGTGGAGTCTGTGTGGGTCGTGTAGTGGAAGTCTGTGGACAGTCTCTGTTCTCTTCGCTTCTCTTGGTTGAAGCATGTCATGAAAGGCACAAACTCGAACCACGTGATGATTGAACTCATTAAACATGTGTGCAGCTCATTCTTCTTCTTTTTTCCAGCAGTCGACACTATAAGCTGCATTGCTGCCTCCCAGCGGTTTGGAAACATCACTGCAGTTTATTGTAGTTTTAAGGAAATGCTCAAAAACATTTTACACGTAATATAATCTTGCTCCTCTGAAAGACTTCCATGTTTTTTATTTATTCCTCAGGTTCCTATGAACTCAAACTCTATTTATATAGACTTGAGTGTCAGCAGATGTCTGATCTGACAGAGACAGAAATAGAAACACTCTTGTCCATAAAATAAAACAACTGATGATGCATCTATTAGTGGTATGTAAGTGTCTTTAGCGCCCCCTGTTGGAGCTTCAGAGAGGTCATCTTACAGTCCAGCTCGTCCATGAAGCCCTCATCCACTGACTCTCGGTCCACCTCCTCTCCCTCTGCCTCAGTGGGCAGAAACACGTGAAGCTGAGCTCGAGCTGGACCTGAAGCGGCAGCTGGAGCTGGAGCGAGGCGTTGACCGCAGCCCGGAAGATACGGCTTCCCAACGACTGACAGAGGCTCACTCTGAGATGAGGAGTCCTGCATCACTAAAGGTCGGAGGTTGCCCGTGTCCGCACTCGGGGCGGGGTTGTGTGAATGACGTCTGGCTGGTCTGGAGCTGAGCTGGATGGCCTGGGATAAGTGGATATAGACCGGCCTGCTGCAGCCTGCGCCCTTCTGCCTGTTCTGCTGGTTCTGGCTCCTGCCAGGTGGGAGCCAGGTCCTGCAGGGGAGCAGGGCGGACGACTTGGAAAATGGAGGAGGAGGTGGGGGTCCACTTTGTAAAACACTGGGACGACGGATGTGGGAGAATCCCTCAATCTGGACGTTCTCATTCAGGGTGAGAAGAGATGGTTCACTGAGGCTGTGGAGAAAAAAAAGATGTGTTCATAGTACCATGTTAACATAGAGATACTAAAAGCTTTCTCCAGAGCCAAAGTTTGTTTGTTCTGTAGAAACATGGCGGTGCAACGTGGTGGACTCCATGTTGGAGGACCCACTACCAATGTAGATATAAAGAGCTCATACCAAAGTAATGAAAACACAACGATTCTTAGTTTCAGCGAATTTCACACATCAAAACAAATTATATTCCATTTCAGCTGATTGATTCCCAAGGGGACCTTTAAGGGAATCACATGTGAAGTTAACTTTGACATTGTTAATGAGAATCAAAGTTAAGTCCACTGTAACTACAGGAACTTTAATGATAAACAGCACTTATATGAAAAGGGAAGGATGTATCGTCATTTAACAAATTCCGTTGTTTTAAGGCTTCTTATTAAAAGTCCTTGTACACACAGAAGTGAAATAACGGTTAAGCTGCTGAGCTGAGATCTAACGACACATTCGATCGATCCTCTCCACTGTAGCACCTGAAACCTCCAGCAGGGAGATGAAATTTAGCTCCAGCATCTCCGCAGCAGGTACAAGTTCACTTTCGGGTCAGTAGGTTCCTGCAGCGGAGAAGAACGGCGAGTAACCCGACACCCAGCAGTTGTGAAGCGGCGTAATTTAAAATCCTTAAAAATGTCAACATGCTGCAAATATCAGAGAAGTTCTGTAGATTCCGTTCATGTCTGTAAAAGAAAAAACGGCTCCTCATTAATTTGATGGTTATTAAAAACCTGCTCTGCTTGGGTGAGTGGAGGCCATCAAATACTCAGGTGTGTGTGTGTGTGTGTGTTCTTCACTCAGGTTTCTCCCTCCTCTGAGTGAATTCAGCCTCCTCGTGCTGCATCAGGCGACAGATCAGCTTCCACACCTGAGATTTATGACACACTGGTACACTGAGTACAGGTGGGGTGGCGTGGGGGGGGGGCAGAAGTGGCCTACATTATGTGATCAAAGTGACACAGTGGAGAGGAAACAATTACAGTGTAATTCCAGTCAAGCGTTCAACCTGCGCTCTGACAGGAACTTTTGCTGAAATGAAAGCAGAGACAGTGAAGGTGGAGATGACAGACGGCCGATTAATCACATTTAGAGCCGCAGTGACACCGCTGCATGATGGGTACTGTAGGCCGCCGGGGACATGATGGCGTCCTTTATCTCAACACACAAAGTGAGACTTTTTTTGAAATGGTTTTCATCTTTCATCCACATGAAAATAATGTAAAACTGGACTGTTGTGTTTTTAAGTCTGGTGAATCTGTCTCAGTTGGTTCACGTATGAATCTTCACTGAAAAAGAACATCTTAGTTAGAAGAAGTTGTTCAACCCAGAATCACAAGTTTATCTGCACCTCAACTTGCTGAGTCATGGTTAAGATAAAAAATCAATTTCCTTATCAGGTTTGATGTCACACTGGAATCATTTACAGGTTTATAGCCCACAACATGTCTAGAGTTTTCTTGTGTCATGTAGGATCAAGATCTGCCCTTTCTGCAAGAAACTTTCTTTTTTCTTTCGTGTTTTCATTTATTTTATCATCCAGGTTGGTAGAAGTGTGTTTGAGGATTCTAGGGAATATTTCTATACCTGCTGTAAGCGAGTCAGTGGAGAAAGAAGGGATCACATCCTTATAGGGGACTTACACAGCAACACACGAGGAGTAAGAGAAGCAGCAGCAAATTAAACCCACCTGGTTTTTCAAACA